TAAACAGATATTAGATTCCATTCGGTGCAAAATCAAAACAAGTAAGTGTTGAAAGAATTTAAATAATTCGACTCAACAAAACGATATACATTTTGTAAATATTTTTAGTATGATTCTAATAAGTCTATTTATTATTCCTTTTATTAATTATTTTATTATAAGAATTGTTATTTCCTTAAATTAAGAAATTAAGATATCCAGAAAGATACGTAGAGTAAATTTAATAGCTGGTTCTTTATTATTAATATTTTCCTGAAAAATATTTAATTCCTCAATAGTAAAAGGCTATTTTGCAAAAACATCATCTACATATGTCCACCAAATGGTGGACTTCTTATTTAAATTGTTAATACTTTTTTGTTTGACTTTCAAAAGGTTGTAACTTGACGAAAAATGGTTTTAGAGCAAGTTTATAGTTTTCAGGATTTGAAAGTCAAAATTTTTTATCTTTGACCCTTTAAGAAATTATAAGAAATCAAACGGAAAAAATTTCTAAATATTTACTTACCTTTCAAAAGGACCACGACCTTCAATAACTTTCATTCACTTTTTGATAAGTAATAATATTTGGGAAAAAAAAAACATTTTCAAATTAAAAATATGAATAAAAGATGCAAAATTTCTTTAAGCGGTTTGTACTCTTGAGGGTTACTTTGGAATACTTTGAGGCTAAAAAAAAATGAAAATATCCATAGTGTATTCATTATTTGTAACGTTATTTATTTTAAAGTTTAGTGAAAANATATTTGCGAAAAAAAAACATTTTCAATTTAAAAATATGAATAAAAGATGGAAAATTTCATTAAGCGGTTTGTACTCTTGAGGGTTACTTTGGAATACTTTGAGGCTAAAAAAAAATGAAAATATCCATAGTGTATTCATTATTTGTAACGTTATTTATTTTAAAGTTTAGTGAAAATCCTTATTTACGCAATTTTTTATGAAAAAAATTTTTTTTAACAAAAAAACAATAAAAACGTCTTATAGAGAATAATTTTAATCTCTCAAATCCCTGCTTAGAGGACCCAGCAAGCTCTATGAAGGCCTCCAAAAAAATCAAGCATTTCAAATCCTAAACACTTTTTCGTTTCTAAAAACAAGGTCACGCAATCAGCGACTTATCGATATCAAATTTCAAAACCTAAACACTCTTCCAAACTTGCAGCATGCAGCTACAACAAGCCAAAAAGGTTATTTTTGCTTTGAACAACGATAAGTAAGCGACAAATCATCGCACAAAGCAATTGAACAGCTCAAATTAAAGGGGATCAAAAGAGCTGACAAGTGGGATTGCCAAAAAAAAAATGTTGAAGCGCGTGGCCCTTTCGAAAGGGAAGCAAAATTGTGAAATTTTTTCCGATGGATTTCTTATTTCTTAAAATTGGTTAACGACACAAAATTTTGATTTTTCAAATCATGAAACTAGAAGCAAAGTTCAATTTGCTTTTTTTTTGCTTTACGACCATTTTTCAAAATAAAGTTTGATAATTTCCAATAAATTGGTTGCTTTCACTGGAGTGAAAAGTTCATCAGTTTGTAAGTTTGGTTTCCCTGTACACCATGTAGCTTATTATTTTACATTTAAAAGCGGTATTAATAGTGGTTTTAAGTCTTTCACGCTGATATTCAAAGTGCGATTGTTATACCGTGGCATATTTTAACTAGGAAAATTTGACCTGCCCTTGTCGGTCTAGCCAGAGCCTAGCCCGAGAACAACAAGAGCGGTCAAAGATCCCCAATTTCCCTCATTAAATTTTTATTTTTTTATTTTTTCCCGTAGGTGGCTGAACACGCGATAAATAAAGAAAAAACTAGAACACGAACATCAAAGACTATCTTATTAATACAGTTTATTAGAAATATTCCTGTATTGTTTTATTTTATGAGCTACATTCTACAGTAAAAATAGGTAAACAGTTCTATATTAGACTTGCGTCAGTTGCACGTAACCTAACAAACAAAATATAACAAATTCTACGTTGTACAGTACCTACCACGAGAAAATTGATTTAATTGAACAATTGAGCTTAAATAGGTACGTCGCTGGTTCGTATATTTAGATAATGATTTATAAAGTAACCAGTTATACGGAAAATCGTCAAACTGTCGTGTCGAATAATAAATAAAACATAAATACAGCGATGGCTTACAAATCGGAGAGCCTCGTGGAATACGTACTGATACACTACAGATGGGTGTTTGTGTGTTTGTTTTTACTACCGGCGTCGTTTTTCTTCGATATATGGATGTACGTCAGGAATTGGCTGGTGTTCAAATTTAGCAGTGCCCCAAAGAAACACGGCAGCAAAGTGTTGTTTGTGCAAAGACAGGTAGGCGCATTATCGATAATAATTATGGTGTTCCAAAATAGATTTTATTTTATTTCGTAAGTAAACAATCTCTGTGTACTTTCAGATACAGGAGTGGAACAAAGATGGTCAAAAAAAGCAAATTTGCACTGCTCGACCAGGCTGGCAAACCATCAGTTTTCGAAGACCAATTTATAAAAACAATATGTACAAAGTCGAAGTAAATCTGGTCGACATTTTGGAGGTGAACGCTAAAAAGAAGGTATAAAATTAAACCGTCATGTTTTCCTTTAATTTATATTATTATTGACGGAATTTTCTATATCGGTCTCAAAACTACGTCATATATGCACCCAAAATAGCTGTGTAGGTATCTTTTTTTACTGATTTAAATAAAATGAAAAGTTATGTAATTAATTTAATTATTTGTCACCGCATATAAGGAGAAAAAAATTGACGTGCCGTTTCTATCGCAAACTGTACATATATTAAAGTAAAACTATACTCACGGTACTTTTGTAGTGCATAGTGTTTCAAAAACATGTCCATCGCTTGTAGGAAGAATCCTTACCTAAAACAAAAAGCTCCAATCAACACGACTATAATTCGCGATAGAGACATTATTTTTTTTAACATCCATCCGCACATAGCAGACAAACGAAAAACGACAGTAAAAATCTGTTTGGATGGCGTTTTTTTCAAAATTTGTAAAATAAAAAAAATGACTTCATCAACTTTTTTTCCAGGAACATACCCATTTGTTACGATTACTAAAATTATATATTTTTTATGAACATTTTTTGTGCAGAAATTTTTTCTCTATCTATTCTCCTTAAAAAGTTACAATAACAAACATTACACAAAAATGTATCCTATTGTATTAGTAGTCATGATTTAATCAACATTGCTGTGAAAACAATGGCTAAAACTACCGTCACAAGTCTTTTTACATAATATTAGTTTCTGTCAAACGCTATTTCTTGCTTGATAAACAAACTAGTACCTAAGTGGTTGATAAAAATTAAAAAATGTTCATAAACAAGGAAAAAGGTGACATGATTTTAATTTATGGTAAATGTCAAAAAAATGCCAGAAGAGCTGCTAACTATCATGGGAGATATCTAGAGCTTCAAGCTGTTTAGGCCAGGAAATATAGAGTTGGACCGTCAAAGTTGACGGCCTATTGTTAAACAAATTAGGTTGGTAGCGGCAAAAAAAAATACTGTCATAACTGGCAACCCGAGCACTTTCCCAGATAAAAATGTTTTATTTGTGGAAGTATGTTAAGTGCATAAGAAATACTGTCAAAAGCAGTGCCTGATTTACCTACAGGCTGGTGTAGGCTGCAGCCTACAGGCCCCCACCATGTTAACAATTTTTTTTTCTGAAAACTATTTTTTTTTAAGATTTTTTTAAAGACAATCATGAACAAGAAATAAAAATTATTCTGAAAAATATAATTTGAATAGGCCCTCACCAATTTTCAGCCTACTATAAATCAGACACTGGTCAAAAGTCAGTGCGTCAGTGGGTCGCTTGATTTTTGGCGAACCGTGGCGCGGTGGAAGGGTGGGGAAAGCGAACGACAGCGAGTCTGAAGAAAATGACGATAATATTCATAGTCCTGCCGTTAAAATAGCGAAATTCGCTTGAACATAATATATTTGACAGTCTGTAACTCCTTTGTTTTTCAACGAATCTTGACGATTTTTTTTGTAACTTAAAGCTCTTTTCATAAGCTTTCCGAATATGTAATAATATATATCACGCGCGTGCGTCGGATATTTCTTTTTGCAACTAAGGCTAAAAAATAAAAAAAAAATCCAGGTTGCTTTGAAATTAAAAGAAAATGATAGATTTCAATGTATTATTATAAAATCTACCATGAAAAAAAAAAAATCAGTGCGATTGTGGAAGATGCTCGGGATCGTCCAAGTAATAATTAGTTAATTTGTTTATAAGGCCATAACTTGTAAACTATTCAATTTACCGATTCCAGATTTCGTGTGAGTTATTAGACAGTGATAAGGAATGAGAAGATGCGATACCAAAACGTTCTGGTAATAATAACGCAGTTTATAAATGTTCAAAAGTCATAAACAAACTTCTTTTGTTTATAACTTTTGATCTAATCAATATATTTCGACGCTCGAGGGCTAGTATTGTAGGCCTTTTGAAGATGAAAAAAAAGTACCTTACTGTTTTCTCGTGTAAATGAACGGAAAAAAGTTACATGCGAAAAATGTTTATGACTGTGGAAACTAATATGTTATTGTACATAATATTTAGCATCTATAGTGATAAATTCAGCTTGCCGAAACAAAAAGTCGCGAAATGGTCATTTCCCAGCTCTTTTTCCTGGCCTATTTGTATAATGTTTGTTACTGTTAACTTATTAAGGAGAAGAGATAGGGAAAACATTTTTGCATAAAAAATGTTCATAAAAAATAGATAAATTTAGTTATCATAAAAAATAAATATGTTCGAAAAAAAAAAGTTTATTCCGAATCTTGAAAAAAATGTTTTTCAAGTACAAAACGGACCTTAGTGCGTCCCGATTCACGCCATCTAAACAGATTTTTACTGTTGTTTTTCGTTTGCCAGTTATGGGCTCGAGACGCGAACCTTGGGACACCTTGTACATTTTGGGAACCGCTCTCCACATGGAAGGTAATCATTTGCGAGTTTGCTAAGTCATGTGTCAAGGAAATTATTTAGAAGTTTTTATTCTGCGGATAAATAATTCTAACACCAAAGCAATACGACGGATTCTACATAGTTTAAAAAATAACAACTGGTAATTAAAATTAAATCTTGCACTAACCTTAACCCAACTTTTAATTTCAAGTACATACAGAATTCCCTAAACCATAAACGAATGAGAAATTACTTTTAGAAAATTAATCATCATATTCATCATCATAAATTTTAGAATTACACTCAATTATTCAAAAATCATTATTTAAAAAATGAGTTACTACAAAACATGCTTAATCAGCATCTTAAGCTAAAGTTGTCATAATCTCCCCATTCACATACACACAACAAGTAAGTATTTCACTAGTTTTCATAGTACATATGCATTTAATTACAGCACATTAAAGATGCAAAACAAATTTTCTTGTGGCTAAAGCAGTTCTTTTTCTAATGCGGCAAAATACCTAAAAAAAGAGATGTCAGCGGTTCTCAACAAGTTTTCTTTTAAAAACTCATGCATATTTATTTTAAATTTCTAATGTTTTGGAAAAAAACTGTTATTTACATTTACATAATTAACTGTACCGCTGTTTAAAATAAATGTACGCTTTTAAAATTCTCTTTTTATTGTGCATATTTTTAATTATCCAATAGTTCTTGACAAAACATGACACCATTGTGATGCAGCAACCACCCTATTCTCCGGACATGATCCCTGTGACTTTTCCTATTTCCCAAACTCAAAAGGATACTTAAAGGACAACGTTTTTTTAACAATAGATGAGGTAAAAGCAAAATCGCAAACCGTGTTCAAGACAACATCTAAAGAGGCGCTCCACCAGTGTTTCTCAAACTGAAAATTACGTTGGCATAAACAGGGGGACTAAAAATTGAAGATTAAATAAATACTTTTTGATATAACTAACAATTCCCGTTACTGTTTTATCAAACCTCGTACGAAGATATTTTGACTTTAAATATAATCCTTCTTCCTCCACAGCTCGTCAAGGCGGAACCTCTGGTAACTATGGGACAACTCACAGCAACTCTTAACCCCTTAGGCTGGACGATTCCAGTACTGCCCGAAATGGACGACCTTACATTGGGAGGATTGATAATGGGAACAGGGATCGAATCCTCCTCCCACATATACGGTCTATTCCAACACATCTGCTTATCCTACGAACTGGTTCTGTGTGATGGAAGCGTTGTTAGGTGCTCTCCGGAAGACAATCCCGATCTGTTTTACTCGGTTCCTTGGTCTTACGGGACGTTAGGAATACTGACAGCTGTGGAGATTAAGATGATTCCAGCTAGGAAATATGTCAAGTTAAAGTATGAGGCAGTGAAAGGTTTAGGTAACATCGCCAAGAGGTTCGAGGAGGTTAGTAAAGACACCAGGAATGAATTTGTGGAAGGCATAGCGTTCAATGAAGATGAAGCTGTGATTATGACAGGGGTACAGACGGACCAACGTGAAGAAGATAAGGTAACTGTAGCTTTAATTACATTGTGTAAGGGGTGTTAGTATAGGATCCACCCCCCCATACCCTCCTTACCCCTCCCCTCCCGCGCTAGCCCAAGGGCCACCTTAGCAAAGCGCATCCCAGGCTGCATAGTCGCACTACCCTACCCAACAATACCACACATAAACATGACACCACCCCCGGGGTTTACACAGACGAGCCGGCGAAGGAAGAAGAGCGCCAGAAGAAAGGGCCCTAGCCGGCGGGGCCCAGCCAGGACAAAAGGAGGTCCCACAAAGCGCCTACACGGGCCACATTTGCTGTC